CCCTCAATCCCACTCTGGCGCTGTCCGGACTGGCCGGCTACTCTCAGCCCCTCGAGGTAAGCATCACTTTCGTGTCCAGCCCATGGCCTGTATCCGCCCGAGGCGCTGGTGCGTCCGAGAGATCGCAGGTCTGTGCTTAATGATATGCGAAGAAAAGTTGGCTTTTGAGGAATCTCTTCTTGCCTCATCGTTGAACGTACTTCCAGTTGGAGGGAAAGTGTTGCGTGAACAGATTCGAAGGTCGGTTCCACCAGAAGATTCATGCTGACGCTGTTTCCGAGGCGAAAAGGTGCTAAGCTTTCGTCCACCAAATGACGGACATCATCACAGCGAGGTAACATCGTCACAACCAACTTCAAGCTAACGAGTCAACAAAACTCACCGGCAAATCTCTAAAAAGTGGTACATATACTCTACACCTACATGGGCAGCTGATCACGAGGAACCCGCCGTCGTCTTCTGATGGAAGCGACGTAACGCTTTCACTCAAAATGGGAGAAAGCTCAACAATTAGGAAAGAATAGATTGCTCGAAACCCAACTTTTCTTCGCATATATTAACCATTTAGGACATTAATAAAGATCCGCTTCAATAGAGGGCCCAGTACCGCAATGGCAACAGTAATAAATGTAGCACCAGCAATATGGTGATGAGGAAGAAGCGATTCGTCATGAACAAATAGCCATAGTTTATGGAAGAGACTGCAAGTGGTGATAAAAATGAAGTTGCCGAAAGGTATGCGCCAGTCGAAATTCAATTTGCGACGGTTTGTGGACCAAAGACAACGTTTTGGCCTGTTCACGAGGAAGCGGAGACATACATTTAAAAGACCAATGACTAGTACTACTTATTTACTACTTATTTGTATCGAAAATGAATAACACTATCAAATGCAATGGAAAATAAATGCTTGCGAAGAATAGTTGTGTTGCGAGGAATCTCTTGTTTTTATCATTGTTGAGCTCACTTGCATTGGGTGGAGAGATTCGAAGGTCGGTTCCACCAGAAGACGACGGCGGATTTGCTGGAAGATTCACGCTGACGCTGTTTCCGAGGTTGATCTGCCTCGATTCCGGTGAAAAGGTGCTAAGCTTTCGTGCGTCACATGACGAACATCATGAGAGCATCGAGGTTAGCATCGTCATAACAAAATTGAAGTTAACGAGTCAAGAAAACTCACCGGCAAATCCCTAAAAAGTGCTATCTAAACTGTACATCTGACCTCTTTTTGATGTGGTATAAAGTGAGTGGGTTAGTTACCGTCATATTTCGACCTCGAAGCCTGTGAGCTGACGGTTGGTGAAGAGAAATCGGCCCTCGTCTTCTCGTGGAACCGACCTTCTTTGCGTGGTTCGGCTGGTGCATCGGACCGGGCACCATTTGAAGCAAAGTGTATCCCTCGACTCTGCTGCCCAATCGGAGCTCAGCTCGAGTCCCTCTTTCGGTCTGCTTTGTGCCTCTTCCACTCAAAGGCTCTGCCTCTCGCCTCGGACGTCTCTTCGTCCAGAATGTGCTCGGTTGACACGAAAGCCGGTTTCCGCTCGAAGAACACCACCACAGTCCGACGTGCCCACGACGCAACGAGCAGGCCGCATGCTCATGTCGAATTCCCTTTTTGCTTTATCCTCGTCCATATGAACTCACCGAAGTCTGCGGGAACAGAATCCGATTGGTCAGCGCGACGAGCTGGTGGCAGTTTTGACATCTACTCAAGTGAAATGTAAGTAGTGCGACCGATTGGAATGGCAAATAATGGAAACTTCAACTTCCCCGAGCAGGAACAGAGCTCGAGTCGCGTTTGGGTTAAGACGAGGTGCAGTAGAGTCCATTCCATTCGGGAGGAAAATACACTTTTTGAGGCAAGGCCAAGTAGAATTAAATGACATCTCGAGGCCTATTCGTGTCAATGTGTGATGGAATTCATACACTTACTTGCCAAAGGGTATTCTCATCCCGGCTCGGTTGGATTGCAGTTTCGGCACGCCAAACGGGACTCGGATCCGGGCTCGTTATTGCACTAAGCCACACTGACGCAAGTTAACTTGGCTCACAAGGCAGGTGGTGTACATGTCTCATCATATGATTATCATAAATTGTAACTACCAGTCCCCTAAGCACCTCATAAATCTGATCTTCTGGTGATCTCGAGAGCCTGGCTAGAAAAGAAAAACAAGTAATGTAGTGGACTGTTATGGCAAATACAATTCTTCTTCGTCGACAATCCCAAAAGACATGGCAGTTTGGCGTAGTGTTGACGTGTCCGCAATACAGACTGCACCACTAGCACAACCCGAATTCGAAGCCGGCTGGTGGTGCGGATGGGAACAGGTGAGGAGAGGTCGAAACTGCAGTCGGCCCTAATCTGGATGAGAATATCTGTTGGGAAGCGAGTACATGCGAAGTGTGATGGGAGCGTATGAGCAATTCCTACGCTTGTGGGAAAATTCAACTGGCATTCCTTTATCATCCTTGTGAAGCCTACAGTGGCTAGAATTGTTATTCAAAAATGTACTGTTCGTCTGGAAGCCTACTTATTAAGAGTGTAAGTAGTAGACTCGATTGTAAATGCAAGCACAAGTTGGCTTTACCCAATCCCGGCTGTGAGTGCAGGCGGGCAGCGCTGATGAGAAGACATGTTGCGAGGTGACTCGTGGGCTTGTGTGAAATGGCATCCGTCACACGAACACAAAGACATAGGACTGCAGACCAGACAGGGCAAGAAGGCAATGGGCAGCAAGAAATGCACCAAAGCAAGTGTGCCCAGTTGAGGTTCGGAGAAGCTTCGCTGAGGCTGAGAAGAGTACTGCAAGGCTGCAGGTCTAACGGAGAACAAAATCACACATATATATACATACACACACACACACCATATTCATACATACATACATACATTCATTCATTCATACATACATTCGTTCATTCATTCATTCATACATACATACATACATACATACATACA